CTTCCGCCCCAGACGGTAATTTTTTCATGAAATGAAGATTTCCTTTTACATCGGCATGAGAACCCTCACGTGTTATCTCTTTCGGAGCTGATCCAACCTGGAATGAGAAAAGAAGTTCAGTAAAAATCAATCCAAATCCACTTATTACTGTACTAATTACTAATCAACTTATTATAATATTTCGACAAATAATGGTTTCTAACCATTCCTTTTTAATTAATTTTTAATTAAGATTCATCCCTTCTCCTAGAAGTTAAATTCCAATTTGTAATTGATCAAACCGCTTCGTTTGGTCATTTATTAGTCAAACTTCAATTTAAAATTGTTAAAACTTCAATTAAGTTTTTATTTTTTACAAATACTTTAGTAATTTCTTTAATGAAATTATGAAATAATTTAATTCACCGAAAGTGAAATATGACGAAGTGAACAGCCACTGCAAAATCATTGCAAAGCTCATTATCAAATACTTCACTTCCAGTGTAATAGATTTTCTACGCTGATCTCTCACGAAAACAGTTCACAAATAATTGCAAGTATAGTAAAATTAAGTGAAATCATTTCACATGAATATGTAATATATATCAATTACTTCAAGTAACTCATCCAGCCAAAGTATCAATTACTTAAATATTTCATATGGGGAATAAAAATGTATTAAAACGAATGAACTACATATATATATATATATATATATATATATATATATAATGAAGGTTTGCGCTTCCCTTAATTTTCCTGGACCTAACTCCAATAGCTCATGCTCATGCTATTTCTTGCTCATTTCATATGAATAGAATCATTGTCTAACAGAAGCAAAAAAATACAGAAAGAAAGATTATTAGAGAGTATATGTAACTTTCTCTCGTCAACATATCCTTTTCTTAATTTCAAATTGAGCATCAAAAATACAACTTAGCCGGATCATGCATGGCATTTAAATGCATCTAATTCGAATTTCGATACATGAAATGAATGAGAAGTTGAAATCAAATTTACATAGCATAATTGAGAACATGCTAAACAAATCATCAATTCCTCCTTTTCCTCTTCCGCCTTCTACTTAAGAAATTTGTTGATACTTAGTTCATAAAATCACATCCATCAGTACTCAATTCTTCTTCTCAGAGTCCTCAGCTAATTTTTATATAATTCTCAATTTCTTCCTGCTTTACCAAATTCATGAAATATATATACATAAAGATTTCGTCGATTTGTTAAAAGAAATACGAAGGTTAAAAACCGATAAATATATTTCTATCAAATCGAAAACTAAAACGATGGAAATATCAGAACGATCTCCGTGAGCAGTCCATATAAATCAAATTCCTATTGGAATAGTAAACTTGCTTAATCAAAGTTTGATCAAATTACTGAAAAATGATAAGCTTCTTCGCTTCCTTTTCTTCTCTTTCTCTTCCGCTTGTCAAGCCACTGCAGCACTTTGAAACAAACTTCAATTTATGTCTAAATACAGTTAACTACTTCACCTACACACCTATATTGTTCCATATCAACTAAGGCTTCCGAGCTCACTCATCCATTCTAATTTTATGAATTAAAAAAAAATGTCAAATTTGTGCCTTAAAGCTTAAACTTACATAGAAAACTCAATAAATGACAAACCATTCATTTAGAGATTAGAAATTTTTGAAAATATTTAATTTATGCAGAAGGAATAAAAGCACTGCAGAAATACCGCAGTTATACACGTCTGCTTGATCTATAAATAAGGGCAATTTTAAAGAAGTCTAAATTTTCGAAGCAATGCAAACCTCTAAAAAAATTAATAAACATTCGAACCTTATACTTGTTTAATACAAATAATTTCTAAAAAAAAAAATTACGTACATAATCGGGCGTCTTACGAGCGATTTTGCAAATATACATTAGGGGGTCGAACGACTTACCTAAAGATTTCCCAGTAACAACTAAAAATAGTGCTCACCAAAATCTAAGAGTTGATGATGCTAATATCCAAACAATTAAAAGTGGAAAGTTTTGGAAAGAAGAAAACGTCAGTAAATTATGTAATAATAAAATTGGAATCAGAAAAATAAGAGAAATTAGGATTGAAGTGGTAGTAAAAAAATATTTAGGAAAAAATGTCATAAAGTAATTTTAAATGAGTTTTAGTAATCTAATAATTTATATTGCAAAATAAACACCCCTTACTCGCATCCTTTTCAAAAGATTAAGTCCAATTACGTATAAAGTTACGTATAAATTATGCATAAAGTACAAAGCTGTAAGAGATTTACGAGTAGTTGAAAATACTAATAAATCCAAGAAAAAAAAGAATTACTTCTGGTAGTTTCAAATTTGGCGTTTTTGACGATGTTTCAGTTCCTTCGTTTATCGTTTCCTCCTGCAACTTTCCCAGATTCCGTCCATGTGAAAATGTTTTGCCGATATCAGATATCGAGCGCACTGCATTCAAGAAACCACTTTGAGAAGAGCCATTACCATTTCCTGCTCCACGCGCCTCAATTAGAAGGAAATGTCACTTATATTTTTGCCTTCCATTCTTTCAATTTTAAATTCCTCTGTTTGAATAAAGAATTGGGTCCGTTCGCTCCATTTTTATTTAAATAGTACAGAAACTTAACCTAATAATAACCAAATAATCTTTTTTTTCCTGAATCCATAAGAAATATGAACCAAAGACAAAAAAAGACAAGAAAGGCAAAAGTGCATGAAAGTAAACGAATTCAGAGAAGATTAAATTAGAGAACATAAAATTTGAAATGATTCATTATTAAGGTTTTGTAAGGCTCAAATTTCACTCTAACTTGAAAAACTGAAGTGATAAGAAATGTGTACCAAATTAAATGCATTCACAATATACACAACATGTTGCAATTCATGGCCATGGTTTAGAAGGAAATGAAGATAATACTAATTGAGTAACGGAAGATATTACATTATATACATTCGTGGTAGCAAAGCAACTTATACTGATATTGGCATTGAGTGGAAGAAATGAGTGATAAAAGATGACATTAGATGGAGTTTTTATTACTGTTTTAATATAAGAAAGAAAAATGAATCAATCACCTGTTCATACTGATGAGTATGCCTCTTTGAAAGTACATTACGAACTTCATCAACTTCCGTCTCTTCTAGCTGCCCTGATGCCACTAAATGTTCCAAAACCTCTTCTGAAAATTCATGTCTTTTTAAATTTGTCCACTAAATGGAAATAATGTGTGTTTATAGCTCGTGGGTTAAAAAAAATGGTATATCAGGAATGTACTTTCACACTCATCAAAGAAAAATATGACTCAATTTTTTACATACAGAAATTAATCGAGTGAAAGATACAAAAACTAAGCTGACCAATGAGTTCTGAAAATTCTTTCGCTTCAGAATCCATGATGATAACACCGTTCATCAAGCAAGAGCGTAGTTGGAAAAGCGCATGCAATGAGAGAGTAGCAACATGCGGCTTTGACCAACGATTGCCACCTTCCTCGACATCTTCTTCGAATTTCACCCATCGAGCTGTTTCACGCCATTCTTCAACCGTTCCGGAACGGGTTAATTCACCCATTTCCGTAAATAATGCTGGTAACTCAACTTGTTCTTTTAGTAGAAACATCACTCGTGCGCCAGGAGCTGAAATCCTTGGCATGAATTTGCGGTGAAATCAAGTTTTTAGTACTATTCTGTTTATTTATTATAAATACGAATTGCAGTTTATAATAAACCTCATTGACTTGTCGATGGATAGCACTGGACACGGGGAAGTAGAAGTTTAGCAGAAGTTATTTTAAATTTTGTTGATAATTTCAATGCATTTTTGAATTAGTACTTTGCATAAGAACAGTTTTCATTGAAAAACTAATTTACATTGTTATAGAAGAAAGTGTGACTCTTTTCAGATAGATCTTCAAGAAAAAAGAATGTAAGCCAATCCAAACAACAAAAATGATATTTGCTTTGCGGACATTTTAGTGGTCATTTTAGCGAGACACCAATAAAATGAGTTCAACTTGGATTCTGTGATTTTCTAAGTGGTAAAAAGGTAACAAAAAGTACTGTAGTAATATACAATAATGCTACAACTTCCGGCAATTTTCTCTTTTCTTACTCCTTGAATGGCATTTAAATACCAACTATGCAAAAGGCTATCACTCAATGAGAAAGTATCTTACCAAGATCAGCCAGATGTTGTGCCTGATCCATACTGTCGAAGTGACGGGTCATTCTTCGTTTCCGCTCAGTAACATCACTCATTTCAACATAAGTATCCCAGATGCTTCCACGATGTTTCAGGTTATGATGCTCGGTTTGTTCAGGTTCCGCAAGAGGTGCTCGTTGTGTATCATTGGATGCTGGTGGCGGTATTACATTAACAATAGTTGATTGTTGCCTCGAAGAAAGTAACGAAGAGGATGTTACAGGCGGTGATGGTGATGCTGACACAGATGACTCTTTACTGCTATTATCACCGCCATCACCATCAGCCTTCATATTCGACATATCTAACGATTAGTAATATTCAGGAATAAATGTAAATGTACACATGTGTACGTTTATGTATGCGCAGTAATGATTTACGTCCACAGAAAAGCAGCACCAACAACAAGTCCAGGACAATAGGTGACGATTTTGGTCATATTCAGGATTTTCAAGAAACGTTTGGTCCTCAGTGTTAACGCGTAGACAATAGAAAGTAAGTTTTGAGGAATGCTTATAAAATGACCTACGCTGGAATCATATATAATCTCCTCAGGAACTACTACACCATGAACATAAGAAATTCAGAAACTGGTGGCTTATGGGAAAACAGGACGACTGCTAACTTTCAGAGTGTAGTCTAGGAATCGATCATCCTTCTTTCATCTTCAGGAACAAGATGTGCTCCACGTACTTCCCCGTGTGTATCTTTTGTTCTCTCTGCTAGTGTGTACCACAACTATCTATATCTATCTATCTATCTATCTATATATATATATACACACACAAATACATATATAATGTTCCTGCTAGTAATTCTAAGCTAAGCGAACGCCGCTCCTCGACCGATATGGCCTGCCGGTTTTGATCACAGCACCTTTGTGAATGACCAGACAATAATGATGACATAAATGCTGTGCATTTTTGCCTCTTCCCAATTTTGTGGTTATGCTTTGAGGATGTAAGTGCAGGCGGGAGATATGACTTTCACCTGTGCATCTGCAAACAAACTTTCCAGTCCACAAAACACAAAAACACGTACTAAGCAGAACTGACAAAGTTATGCTTGTTCCCCGAATACTGATAATAACATCTATTAATACTGCTAACACTTTATGGTTCCACAGCTGACATTCCATTTAGAGGTAGCATGTAAAAAATATGTTTTTAACCTTCCGGAAGGGAAATCTTTGTAAAAATATGTTTTTTTAACCTTCCGGAAGGGAAATCTTTTTTTTGAATTTGTAGAATAATGGGTGAAATGTATAACAACAATTTAGAGTGAAGTGTGTCACACAGACTCATTAAAGTATAACTACTTTACATTAATGCTTACTTTTCAAAGAATGTTTCAACACTGCAAATTTCTTTTTCGCTTCTCACCCATTGTTAAGCTGAACTATGATTCATTACAGGCGGTGGTGGCGTTTCCAACAAGGAAAATATATTTGCATGAAAAGTGAAGATGGGAAAAGAAAAAGTGAAATTGTAACTAAAATAATTATGTCTAATGAAAATATTTCAAACCTGCTGAATCAATGACATATAAAAAAGAAGAAACAAGTCCGAGGAACAAATAATCGGAGAAGAGGTAAACATGTATAAGTATAATGAAAAATTCCACTGATATTACTAGGAAAACGCAAACATCGCTAGCAGTTTGATAAAATATGACATGGCAACATAGAACAGGTTAGATTTAATGTTTACTTTTCCAGATGTTTATAAATTATAGCAAAAAATTTTAGTGGCGGATATTTTACTGTCGTACTTGTATAAAAAATGAAATTAAAAAAGATTAAATAACATTCCTTGAAAAGAACAAGTACATATTATAAATTCATTAAGTAAGCAAATTTCAAGAGTACAAGGATAGTGTGCTAATAGCTAGCCATATCTGTACATACATTCTAGACCAAAACTAGAACAACTTCAGTCCATGAAAAAAAAAAAAAAACATCGAAATTCAGCTAACCCTCTGCCTATTTTTTAATTTTATAAAAATATTTAACAAGTAAAACTTTCTAATTTCCCACAATAATTGGTTGCATCATTTAATTTTTCCACAGCCTGCTAAATGTCATTTGTGATGCTATAGGTTTCATTAATTTTAGGCCAACTCTAGCAACGAAACCTTTCATTTCACATTTTATTACCTTGATGATGAGTCATTCATCTAATGTGTTTGTTTCTTCTTTAACTTAGAATACTTGTATTGCTCAAAAATATATACAAAAAATGAGCGAGTAAAAAGGGAAACTTCAGAACAAATGAGATGAACGGTTTAATTCAAGTGAACGGATATTTCATTGAATATCAATAGTCGTTCTTATCTATTTCCAATCAGTCTATTCTCCAAAAAGAATACCACCTTTCTTAAAGAATGTGGAAGAAGCAAGAGAAGGAAATAAGCTAGATGGGTCTTCATATCTTGTCAGTAGAATTTACAAAACGCTCAAACTGAAACGTTGCTGATAATTTTAAATTATTATGAACTAAGTTAATGCCATGGTTAAATATTGCCAATACCTCATAAACTAAAACTGTAGAGCATATGTCAAGTTGAACGGCACCATTAATCCTTATCACCACTTGTTATCAATCCGTTCACTGTAATTCTTGTCGCTATCACTATTCTTTATTGTTACTATCATTATTATTACTTATATTCATTATAACTGTCAACCATCAATATGAAAAAAAGTTAAATGGTAACTAATAAATGAAATGAAAAATGATTTGATAAGTAACTGCGTGGACCACAAGGCACCACTGCGCCCATGGAGTTGAATTTTATTAGTAAAATGCAATCGTAAAGCAAAATCACTATTTCGATGTATGTTTTCTATCTATCTTCACTCTTTCTCTTCCTGCCATACACTGCCATATCCTCTAGCATTCACAGATACATCCATTCATAAGGTAACAATATTACTCACTGATACTACAGCTTTAACGATCACACTCTGTCAACGTTCTTCCTATCAACACTGTCAAGTGCTAGCATTTATCGATTCTTCAATTGTTTTGAAATCCGAAATAATCTAACAAAACGGAATCCATTAACAACAACAAAACAAAGGCAGGAGGAAGCAGGGGAGAAAACAAGAAAGCATATCAGCTGATAAGTGTTTAAAAATGAAGACAGCATAGGGATGAGATTGAAGGGAAGAAGAAAGGAGAGAAGATTTAAGAGTGAATCAGTAATAAGTTCTAATTGCACTATCCGTTGAGGTTGCATGTTGTTGCACTGGAATGGGAAGATTACGAAGAGGAAAAGGCAAACGTTTGGCCTAAAACATCACAGATATCCTAACTAGAAGATAAAAGGATGATGATGATGACGATGATGATGATGATGATGATGATGATGATGATGATGATGATGATGATGATGATGATGATGATGATGATGACGATGATATCGGTGTGAAGTAACACGCTGTGAAGCATTGATTATCATTCCACTGTTAATATCCTATTAACTTAGATCAGTGATACTCACCAGAAATATCTGTTAATGATCTAATCGAGTACCACCAGCATATTTCTTCTTTAATCAAGCAGATAACTGCTTAGAACGGGTCCAGTCTGTTAGGCAACGAAAACGAAAATTATTGCTTATTAATTGCTACCAGTAATTTAGCATAAAGCGAATAAAAAGAATTCCTAGAAATCCCACTGATATTTTACGAAGAAATTGGTAAAAAATATCAAATTTAAAAAAAGAAATTTGAAGAATGTTTCAAAAATATATGCTAAGAAAAATCAAGAATATCCTATTATTGAAGGCGTTGAGGTTTCCAATATACTAAAATTTTGGGGAGACTACCCACAAAGTGATTTACCTCTAAGTGAGGTAAATAATAATAAATAATAAGACTAAGTAAATAATGAAGAATTAGAATAGTAGAAGATAAAAAATGGTAGCTTGAAATTGAAGTGCAACATCAATTCTTAAGAGGGGAAGGGATAGAGGAAAAGGGAGACGGAGAGGGAGAGACAGAGGAGAGAGGTGAAGAGGAGAGGAAGAGGAAGAGAAGAAAAGCACCAAGAAGGTTTTAGCCAAAAGAATCGATACAACTAGCTTAAAATATCCTATTCTTGAGATTTCATCATACGTCGACATCATTCAGAAAGTATTGAATGGTGAAAAATCTAAGCCTACATGCATTGGTTAGTTAACCGGAACCGGTAAGACGAAACAATCCACTGATCATTTATGATAACTGGAATAAAGTGATATAGAAATGCGATTGGGAAAGCTAAATTTCGTTTTTTTCATACTATTTTTAGTTTCATTCTCAACAGACGGGATATTAAAGTTTTTTAAACTTTTTTTTTGAGTTTTGCATTTAACATTTCGTACATATGACGATATAAATTCCTTCTTTTCTCAACACATATATAAATACAATTTAGTAAGAGGAGACAAGTCTAAACTAGAAGAAATTAAAAATTCAAAAAAAAGATGTCGGTTTTTTGGCCAAAAGTTATTCTGTTATTCAGTAACATAGTTTATTAAAGTTTAAGTTTCAGGAGTTTTTATTTTTCTATAAAACTTTAAATCAAATTCAAAAGTTTGCAAACAACTAATGAAAAGTGGAAAAACTTTCCAGCTCGATGATTCTTACTTATTTTGCTAATTTATTCAAGTTTAACCGTCCGTGAAAATACATGGAATTCAGTCCCTCCTGAGAATAGGGTTGCTGTCGTTTGGCAGATGTGAGGAGGGTGGCCTAAATTATGTAACTAAATATGAAGGTAATATGCTTAAGCACTACAATTTCTTTCCTCAATCATTGATTTGAATTTTTTAAATTTAATTTCAAATTTGCAAATTGATAAATAATTTATAGCATAAAGTTGATAAATATATTGAACGCATGAACATTTACAAATGCTCATTTATGAAAGAAAATGTAGTAGAAAACTACAAAGGTGAAAGAAAGAGGACGCAATATTTTAAACGATATTGACAGGAAAATTGAAGAGCAACTGCTCATCCTTCTCTATCGTACCGGTCGATAATATTTCTGATTTTTATTATATTTCAAAGAATGTCCACACAGCACATTACGTAATTTGCTAGTTGTTCTAAATGAATTTTATAAAATTATTTCAATCATCCAAATCATTCCTAATAAGTGAAAAAAGGGTCAAAAATCTGCATAGTTTACAGAGGTAAATAAATAAATAAAGGTATTTGCACAACATTATGTCATTAAGGATGCTCTAGGAGAAGAAAAAGGAAGAATAAAGAAAGAAAGATGAAGATATCCTGACATGAAGGACAATTTTAGCCAGAGAAATGATGAACTAAAATGCTTCACCTAATAATGATATCTTTGTAAACAAAAAAAATTCTTCTGTTATTTTATCTTACTGATGATAATGAGTGTTAATGATGATAACGTTACAATAAATTACTTTGGTCCAAATAATTAATCGGTAATTTTAAATTTCATCAAAGAAAATTATAGAAAATAGATATTTGACCTTAACCTTTTATTCACATTTTATAGCCAAATGATTTCACTTGACATCTTGAAGTCTTTATTATATTTTGTACGAAGGTTTCGATTCTGAAAAGACAACAATTTGACCTAAAACATGTTGTGCTACAAATCACTGCAATCCTACTCTCTACATATTTTTTGAAATTTTCCAAAATTCACTGTTTTTTCATTGCAGGAACAAAAAGTATTCTGCTTATGTTTGTTCTACTACAAGTGCGCCCACGACTGATAAACTTTTATTTATTCATTTTTTTTATATTTTTTAAGGCAACACCTTAAAGTTTGCATTTCTGCTAGAAGACTGAATCATTCCTTCCTTCTTAATGCTTTTTATTTCTATTGCTTAGATTGTTTAATGTAAAAATCAAATAGTCCTTTGCAACTTTGCTCCAAAAATTACTAGCCTTTAAAGGAAAAATTTTAGATTCAAAGTTTATTTATTCTCTTCCTGGTTACAACTGTGATAACTGGTCAAATGCTACAGAACTAATACATACAAATCAAATAGTGCTTTTTCTATAAGAGATGCTGTTAAAAATGTTGCAATAACTCAAATTTTTTTAAAAATTTAATGTTAGTAGAATAACTTGTTGTAATTTTATCAAAATGGTAAGAGCAAG